GACATTGTGGGGTGAGTAGGAGCGAAACCAGTGGCGGTGTGGTGTCATGTGTGCAGATGCACCTGTGTCGGTGTTCCAGTTAGCAGCAGCAGGCGAAGCGAGCCAGGTAGAGCGATCTGCTGAAGAGGAGAGGGCAAGAGCGCAACCAGCACTCACAGTGGCCGCACCAGCGGACTCCTGGGGTTGTTGGAGTTTGCCGTCCGGCCATCGCCGAGTGACCAAATACATACAAATAGCACATCAGTACTGCCAGCTCATCATGTACCTACCTGCTCTTTAGTCCGTATGGCGACGAGCCTCTTCAGTTTGTGTTTGAGGCCTGGGTGGGGCTTTGTTCTGTCTGGGCCTGGAGAGCCCTGAGTGCCAGTTTGGTGCCCTAAACCTCTCGTCTATGCGTCTATGCCTCTCTCTCTCTCGCTCTTCCTTAACTCTATCATTCGCTCTCTGCACTCACTATCTGCGCCCAATTCGCCATCATCGACCAGATCACACCACTGCTGCGAACAGGGGTGTCCCCTGCATCCTGGATGTGTCGTTCGAAGCCTGGGACGCCTCCTGCTTGTTTCTGGACTTGTTGGAGTGATACTGTGAGCGTTGAGCAGCACGTTCTTTCGCTTTGACACTGGCATCGCGTTTAGCGTAGCACTGGTCCTCGGAATGGCCGGATCGACTGCAGAAGGTGCAGGAGAGCGATGTGGCGGCATTGGAGAGGGCAGGGACGGGTGGGGACGCTCCAGGCTGATTTTCGAGCGAAACAAAGATGTCCTGAAGCTTGTCAAGGGTGAGGGAGTCGTCCAGGAGCAGGGTGTGGCGTAGGGAGGTGTATTCAACGGGCAGGGCGCGAATTAGAGCCATAAGGACAAGCTCATCGTCGAGTAGGGTGATGGTGAAGCTGGGAGGGCGTAGGGCGAGCATGTCGGACTTGAGCTGGATAGCTCGAGTGGCCAGGGAGGATAGGGACTCGTCTTCTGCCTTGGAAAGGCTGAGGAGGGCATTGTAGGTGTTGAACCTCGTACCTGGTCGCTTCTGCATGTGAACAGCCTCCAGCTTCGCCCACATAGCCTGAGGATCATCCCTGATTGCCTCCAGATGCGTCTGCTGCTCCCTCTCCACACAACTCCAAATCTCCCCAGCAGCCATGTCCACCCTAGTGTCGAAATCGCGTAGATCTCGTCGCTCACCAGCGTCCAGAGGAGGGGTGTAGCTGGGCCTCGTCTCAGTGCCCTTGACAATGCGCAGGGCCCCCAAAATGCGAAGCCTGCCCTCCATATCGAGTCTCCATTGCTGGTAGTTGCGATTGGAGAGCTTGGGGAAAGCGGCGGGGGCTGGTGCCATGGTGGAGGGGTATTGGCGTGGTGCGCGGCGAGCTGACGAAGCGACGAAGCAGGGGGACGAAAACTGCATCCAGGAGCAAAGAAAATGAAAGCAGAGTCCTAGAGCGAAAATGCGACAAGCAGAGCAGGTAGGAGTGCAGGGAGAGCTTGGTGCGGACTGTAGAGCGATAGGACAGGCAGGGATGGACGTCTGAGGCAGCTAGAGCGCAGGGCTCATAACCTGTTAGCTGCAGTGGGCCTCAGAGCGATCACAATGGCCTAAGTCGAGCTCTGTAAGTCTTTTCATTGCAAGGAAACTGTGCTACACACCTAAGTCGAGCTCTGTAAGTCTTAAGGACTGCAGAGTCGACTCAGGCGCAGATGACGGCGCACAGAGCGCGTGGGAACTAGCTAACACGACCATACACTATGTGGCGCTGGAATGGCGCCAAACGGACCAGAAGTGGGTAAGGTAGACACTATTCTAGAGTGCAGTCAGATCTACAGAAATGGAGACTACTAGTGAAAGAAATGCGATATCTCTATGTAAACGAGAGTTATGACTATACGGAAATTACCGTAGATAGCGGACAGCGCAAACCATGTATGGCACAAAGCAGGACTTGGTGCGATCAAAATCGACGGCGCTCTAGCACCGACTCCAACAGTAGCTGGGCTATCATCCGCAGAGTTGGACGTCACATTACCCTCTTGTCACAGTTTTCTCGTGCCATGTGACCTGGGGGTCATGTGTACTGGGACAGACGCTCACCTTGACCGCGGACAACTCGTATCGGAAAGTGGAGGGGCCAGGATCGAACCCCAGACCTCGTGACGGCCAGGAGCGCCCATCCTCACCCACAGGCAAGTGACTGATGTGACAGCAGGAGCGCTTACTCATTGGAAGGGGTCCGGACTCGGCACGACTCAGGTATTAGTCGTAAGGTCACCATGAGGCAGGTCAGAGGGTAGGACATGAGGCAGAGAACTCTGACCAAACGATGGCCAATAGGTACCTGGTCTGTGCACCATTGTATTAGTATATATAGTAGGGAGTCCGAGGCAGGGAACCTCAGACTTGATCTTCTTGTCGATCCCCCATCTTCTTTGTAGGTAGCTAGCAGCCCTACCTCTACACTGCCCCTTCTAGTCTAGAGAATCTACTTGCTTACATCACCTCTTGCTGTGTCACTTGTGATTGCTTCGCTCCCCAGCACCAACCCCTTCACAAGTAAGCTTGTCTTTGTTTGTCTGGTGGCACGGCTCGTCGGCTGTGACACCTCTCCATATGAGAAAGTCTCAATGCCAGCATGGCGTGAGTCGGGCGAGGAGCTCTCCATCTGAACACCCTGCGAGTCGTTAGATTGATGCTGGGGCACAATAGGATGTCTACTTGGACTTAGCTGTTTTCCGAAATTTCGGGCAGTAGGGGACATACATTTCTTAGCTGCGGGCTTGACCATCTCCGACACCCTGCGTGAAGGAAATCTTCTGGAATTCAAGTCAGACTTTGTTTGAAACAGTGACGCTGGAGGACATACCTTGGCCTCGGTCGACTTAGCAAGTAGAAGCGCCGCATGATAGTCATCATCATTTGGTGGTTTGTAGAACAGGCTGGCACGGGCCTCAAGTTCTTCTTCATCAGGCGGAGCAAGCAAAGGACGAGACAAAAATGCGGGATAAACAGTAGTAGACAACTCTGAACGCCTATGAACTGGTGACAGGGAGGCAATTGGGGTGGACGAACGGACATTAATGACAGGAGAAGTGACTGGTTGGTCTGAGTGAAGGGTAGAAGACGAGCACAGCGATGATTGAAAGTCAGAGGCAGACATTGTGATGGTGGGTGAATGCAACTGAGGCATTATCAACATCAGGGCACCCTTGATATAGGGCGGGGACTCCAAGTCAGCATTTTCCCGAAGTGGCTAAGGATACACGGCTGACGGTAACCAATGTGACAAGAAGGCAACCCATACCACAATTGCAGGCATGTGGGAAACGGCGTGCTAAAGAAGCGCTCCAAGGCAGAAGTGAATTACATTACATGACATGACTTCCCCGCTGTGCACTAAGATGTCGGCATGTCTTCCTCGCCTGGACGTACGGAGTCCGCCAGCTACTACCTGTCTTACCTCGCTGGGTGCAGTTGATGTAGAACTAGTGACCGGAAGCACAATTCAGGATTAAAATGTCTTAACACGTGCATGTCGCATGGAAAGTGTTGGATGAGCAAAGATTATGCATTTGTGGCCGACGGGCACTGAAGGCTTCACTTTCCTAGTACATACTGGACGGACTTTTGTTTGCAGGTATAAACATGGTCTGAAATAGCACGGTCGGCAGGTGTATGCTGGGTGGATTGTGCGGGCGTAAATGGAGTGGGGCATCAGCGATATACAATAGAGCGACACAATGTAGCAAAACAAAGTGGCCGCTCGGCCGGGAGTAGATGGGTGAGTTTGCCACCCGGCCGGGGGCGGGCCCAGATATGGCCCGGTCAAACCATTCCATTGCTCGTCAGGTCGGACCGTGCGCACTTGGTGTGCTCTATTTTTATCCTTCATATCTACATAATTTGTTACATTGCAGTTCGCAGCAACGCAGCAATGGGCGGAGCGGTCGCTGTGAGCATGAGCTTCACATGCTCAGTGCAGGCCGGATGCCTTCAGAAGTCTCTGCACGCTGTCATATGCTTGCATATCATGTACATTATACAGCCACATGCAGTAGCTAATCGTATTACTCGTGCAAACCACTATAGGTAGTACCAGTAGCACATAATGTGCATAGGAGCCGACCGGGTAGCAGTTGCCCAAATGGGGTACATCCAGCCGAGGCCAGGGCTGTGCTAGTCTTGGGCATTTGTCACACCCGGGGGGTAAGCAACTCTATGAATACTTATGTAATGGGCTGAAGGAACAGTCATCATACCAACTGAGCTTGAAACTACCCTAAAGCTTGTCATGAACTGCCCCCACGGGACTATGTTTCCCATTCCATTTGGACCACTGCCTTGTACATTCACTCATTGTTCACTACTCGCTACGGTTTCCCTTTGTTCACACACGGACAATAGCTCCCTTTGTCCCCACGTCCGCTATTGTCCTACACCCCTTGTACTCCGTACCCATGGCGACGCTATTGTTCTCTAGCGCCCATTGTTCGTTCCTCATATATAGTCGGATCCCTTGCTACCTGGAGACTCTAGTTTCAACCTCTTGTCTCCAGGTAAGCCATCGTGTATTTCGCTCTGTAGATATTTCGCTCAATACACAACTTGTCTCCAGTTCTGCCTGTTGAGCTCCGCTCCAGTCTCACTGCGATCAGAGCTCGTCGGCGCTCCTTCCTGCCTCACTCGTCTCCACTTACTCGCTCGACAGTCAGTCGTAACAAAGCTGACGAGTGTCGCTATAGTACCCAACCTCACATATAAGCTTATATCCTTAGGAGCATTGCTCAAGGATGGATTGGAAGCACGTGCAAGCACTGCTGAAATCTCTTTCTATCAGAATGATAGGCTTATAGTCGTGTTCAAACCGCGCTTTGAGAATGACACTATATACGTCACTCATACGCAGCTTAGATCGGTGCAATGTACTGTCGCGGCTAGTAATGCTGTTGACTATGAGACTCTTCACCGTTGTTTCGCGCACCCTTCGCGTGATGTGCTAAAACATGCACAGAAACACATGGAAAAGTGCCTGCTTGTTGATTTCCCTCTTCAAGACTTAATCTGTTGAGGATGTGCTGAAGGTAAAATACCATTGCAACCTCATCCGCTTGACATTCATCATGCAACACACCCTTTTGAGTTAATCCATTCGGATCTCAAGGATTTTTCTGTTCCTTCATATGACAAGTATAAGCATGAGATACTGTACTTTGATGACTACACGTCGCATGTATGGACTATCGGACTTTGTACGAAGGACGCTGCACTTCAAGTCACATGGCAATGGCTCGCATATGTTGAGAACCAGTTTACAGCGAAGAGTGTACTGATACGGAAAAGTGATTTGCGAAAACTGGGCGCCTGATCAAGCGCCTAAGTCGCAAGCTCGCATGCGCAATTTCTCGGCTTGCTCCTACCTCGCTGAAGCTTGGACCAGCCCTTCGATTACTCGCGCAATAGTGTAAATACAGTGCTACATGTATCCCACCTCTCTGAAGTATCTCACTGCATCCTCCGGTGTGATCGTATAGCAAGCATCACCGATATCGAGACACCATGGGATTCCCCATTGAAGTGCCGTTAGAGCACAGACTTGACTTTTGCGAAGGCCATCTCTATGGGATTGAAATCGGAGGAATATGGAGGCAAGAACACAAGCTTGCACACTGAGGAGTACTCAGCAAATGTAATCTGGTATCATGAGCAATGGTACTTACATGTCTGATCCTCCACTAGCTTACGGATGGTCTCGAAATGGTGGATATTGCAATTGTCGAGCACGAGTATGCTCCGTGGGCCGGAACAAGGTGTTGTAAGTGGTATCTGGGAGTTGTTAGATGGTGGGGTATGTCTAGATGTTACAAACGCCCTGTGGGGGCATCTCTTCTTTCCTTTCTCCTCGTATCCTCTCCACCATGCATTCCCTCTTCTCACGGCACAACCCGGACACTCGTACCTACCATGGTTCCAACACCGTGCTTCATATCCCCATTGTTCTCATCGCTATTGTTCTTTTTGCCATTGTACTACGTGGTCACAACACCACGTGACTCCTTTGTCCCCATTCGCTATTGTTCTCCATCGTTATTGTCCTGTGACTATTGTTCTCTGATTAGTCAGCGACCGTGTACTTTAGTATATAAGGACAGGTCTTGCACTGGGCACCCCAGTTTGACCTCTTGTACCAATCAAGCGTTCTCACTCCCTAGACCCCTAGTGACCTCGAACCCCCAGACCCCCAGTGAACCAGTGCACTAAGCTTGTCATCAGTCTGCGTCCTCGTTGTGCATAACCTGCACACGACCCCTTGAGTGCTGACACGCTTCGCTGTAACACTAGATGATTGTTTTACATACAACACAAGTCTTCAGAAAATCGAGAAACATCTCAGAGGTAACTGACCCCTCAAAGATGTTCCAGGTGATAAGCCCTTCAAATGTCAAGATTGGGAGAAGGGAGTGGTGTTTGCCTCGCACAAAGCAAGTACACTGGAGCCCAACCTCGACGACGGGCTGATGTGCGTCCATCCACTGCACTCTCATCACCAAACATCAGCTGAGCAGGTGTTACGACTGACTGTCGAGCGAGTAAGTGGAGACGAGCGAGGCAGGCAGGAGCGCCGACGAGCTCTGATCGCAGTGAGACTGGAGCGGAGCTCAACAGGCAGGACTGGAGACAAGTTGTGTATTGAGCGAAGTATCTACAGAGCGAAATACACGATGGCTTACCTGGAGACAAGAGGTCGAAACTAGAGTCTCCAGGTAGCAAGGGATCCAGCTATATACAGGGAACGAACAATGGGCGCTAGAGAACAATAGCGTCGCCATGGGTACGGAGTACAAGGGGTGTAGGACAATAGCGGACGTGGGGACAAAGGGAGCTATTGTCCGTGTGTGGACAAAGGGAAACCGTAGCGAGTAGTGAACAATAAGGAAACGTACGAGGC